CACGTGGTGTGGTTGCTTAGAGACGCTAGAGGCTGAACCAAAATGCAAGGCTGAACCAAAATGCAAGCTGTCGACGTCGTCGCTAGCTGGAGGCTGAACAATGCAAGGAAAATACATGCAAAAATAAATCAATCAATTGACAGAGAGAAGGGCGAACTCACCGGCACCGGCGCGGAGCAGACAACAGGGGGCGCTACGGAAGAACAACGACAGCAAGCTTCGCCGGAGAAGAAACCAGATCTACCGCCGCAGAGGAAAACCAGAAATGGGGAAGAAAGGTGAGGCGCAAGCGATATGAAGGAGTATATTCGACAGCTTTGGCTGTCGAATATACAGAAAAAACGATGTCGTTCCCATAAATAAACATATTCGACAGCCAAAGACTGTCGAATATATTTGTATACTCGATAAAAAAGTTGTCGAATATGAATACTGTCGATTAAACAAGAAATTTCCATTATCATCGTCAATTTTACATCTTCGTCAATCTTTCTGTCGATTATGTACACATTTTCGACAGAAATGTGGCTGTCGAATATAATATTGTCGCTTATGCTGCGTTTTTCAGTAGTGATATAAAAATATAATATAATATAATATTTATACTTAAAATTTATAAAAAAAAAATTTATGAATCTGAAATAAAAACTTATATAAAATTAATTAAAAATTTCTTAATTAATATGTGTTAAGAGTAAAATTAAGTTAGAGAAACCTTATTTCTTATTATGCTTTTACGTAACATTTTACCGCCCAACAAATAGTGGTGTAGTGTATCTCTTTCACGCTCATCACCATCACTGAAACCGGCCCTGTCGACGCCGAGGAATCGTCATCAGCTGCCGCCCGGCCGTTCATCATTACGCCCTCCTAATCCGGACGAAAACTCCGGTGGATAGTTTTGTTAATGCCACATGCACCAAAACTAAGATTTTAAACTTAATTGATTATTTTGCCCTCTTCTTCTGCAAAAGGCATGGAAGGGATCCCATCAGTCCTCTGCCTTTCATCAAGACTCCATATTTTCCGGCTGTAGACACACTTCAAGTGGGTCACCTTTTCTTCGGCCAGCCAAAACACCACATTCATCTTCGGCAGACATTGACTACCACCCACTTCAATTCATCCCATGCGCACATCTAAAAACACAAGAAAATCTCTCTTGAAAACTACCCAGATCTTCCAGTCTTTGAAATTGACCATTACCCAGTTCAATTCATCGGATACCCACATCTAAAAACACAACAAAATCTGAAATTTCAGGGGAACAAATTAGCAAGCTTGCATTAAAGGGTTGTTAAATTATTATGAGAGTTACAGAGATTTAACCAAAACCCAAACCAGAAGAAAAGATAGTTTATTTGAAATCAACAAATATTGGGTGTGCAGTTGAGTTGAAGCTTCGAAGTACAGAAGTAGTTAAAGCAGGGTCCATGATTTAGATGAAGCGCGCAAAATAGTCAATTAAGTTAAAAAGATTGTGAAAGTAAATGTTAATTTTATAATATATGTTGATTAAATTTAATTAATAAATTAAGTGTTAATTTTTATAATTTTAATATAAATTTATGATTAAAAATATATTAATTATATTTTTAAATTATGTTTTAAAGATGTAAATTTTAAAAATTATTTAATTATTAATTTTAATTATTTAAAATTTAAAATTTAAAATTTTAAAACAGCGAGCCAGCTAAATATAATCTAAACTTTTGTCTTTATATTTAATTTTTATCAATTATAAAATTTATAAAAATTAAAATTAAGAATCAAACCACACACATACTATTGTTATTATTATTATTTTTTTTTTTTTGAGAGAACACATACTATTGTTATTTATTCTCCATGTGCCCTTTCCATACAGTTTTTGGTTGGGCCTAAACCACATTTTAAACGGCCCAATAGATTTTGTGTGTATTATTAATTTTGTTGAGTGATTAAATTTTTTTTATTAATAAAATAAAATATTTTTTTATTATTTCAGAATATAATGAGTGATTAAATAATTGTTCCTCACTTCTCGTATATGATATATCGTTTTACTCTGTTTTTTCCTCTCTTTCAATTGTTTCGCCTCATCGAAAAACAAATTAACCATTCGATATGGTTCACATATTTTTCTTATAAAACAAAAAACACTCGTAAAATAGACTTCGAAAGCTAATATTTAACGTATTATTTTGTTGCTATTTTATTTAGCATGTAATGATTTGATAAAGATAATATAACTAATTATTAAATTTATTTCATACGTTATATCTACTATATGTATGTAATTTGTGCATAGTATTATTTTGCACGTGAAAGGGGTAAAGTTTTTTGACCCCCTCTAGAATTTGAGTCAAGGTCCCAATCCGCAAATCCAGCAAGCGGGTCATGGGTTCCTTCTCCAAATTCCTAGTTTCTCTTTGTCCTCTTTTTCTATGAGACCATCTAATGTAATTTGATAATGTCCCGTTCAAAAAACTTTGCTTAAAATATTATATTGGCGTCTCTATTTTAAGAAATTTTTTTTTAGTTTTTAAAATTTATTATTTGACCTCTCTTAATCTATTAATTTTTTTTTTTACATGTGGCATATTAAATAACCAAAATTTCAAAGTAAAAAGATTAAAAAGGATTAGAAAAGCTTTTTTTTGTCTTCTACTTTAGGTGGTAAAACTAATTTCCTGGCATTTTTTTTAACTCAATAGCTAATGGTATTTTCTGTTCGTACAAGCAAAAACTTTTCAATTTGTGAAAAGGTTAAATGTTAAATATAGTTTTTTTAACTTTCAACCTTGAATAGATGTCGATTTTCTTTAAACTTATAATATATATATATATATATATCTATTTCTAGTCCCTAAACTTGTAAATATATATAGTAAACTTATCAAATTAATTAATAAAAAGGCTAAAAGATTAATTTTTTATAATTCAACTTATCTATTCTATAGCATAAGATAAGAAGTGATTATTGACCAATAATTTTTATTTTTTACTTCGAAAATGATGAAATTGATTTTATTTTAATTATAGATGTCACATGTTAAATTTTTATTAATTTATTTAAAATTAAAAATTAAAAATTATTTTTTAGTTCAAAATATTATATTATTTTAAAATTTTATAACTATAACTCATCAATTATTACTTTTGATCATATGCTTTTAAAAGTATAAAATAAACGTACTCTTTATAATTTAAGAACTACAAAAAAAAAAAATAATTTAAGTATTAAAATATTCAAGTTGAAAATTTAACAACTAGACTGGAGATTCAAGATTTTTTTAAAAGACATAAGAAATTTTTGGGAAATAATGAATTTTTTTTTAAATTATTAATAAAAATCAAATTTTTAATCAATTAAATATAAACATTAGTATTTCAAAACAAATTATTAAATCTGAAAACCAAATTCTACTAGAGATTCAAGAATTAATTGTGGGAAAGCAAAAAAAGGTCAATAAATTACTGGTAAAAAACAAAAAATCAATCAATCAATTAAAGGTGATTCAATTTTGATAAAGGGGATTCCCAGTGACTGCCTAGACTAGATAGGGAAACAGGATTGCGTTCCATCTCCGAATCAACTGAGAGACTTCCTTCCAAAGAAATGCTTATTGATCTTCCACATGGAACAGTTCTTGTGAGAAAAAGAAAATATGGCTCATCTTCCAAGCAGCCAAAAGCCAACAAATCCCCTGAGCTCCCTTCCATCTCCAGATCTCATTTTCCCCACCTCTCCTCTCCCCTCAGAAAATGTTATTTTTCCCTGTCTTAAAGAGAAAATCAACACTCGATCTCAGCATAGTATTTCATATTCTTGTTTTCTTCTCTTGTAATAATGTCCAAGGCAAGTGTAGACCTGGTTGTGACCGTGCCTTAGCTTCATACTACTTATCCGGAGATGTTTCCGATCTCACATACATCAGCACCCTCTTCAACCTTAAAAAGTACACAGAAATTCTTCAATACAATCCCCAAATCAAGAATGCAGATTTCATCATCACCGGTGACAGAATCAAGGTGCCATTCCCTTGTCACGGCTGTGTGAACGGCGATGTCTTGGGTCATACCTTTTCTTACACGATCAAGAACAGAGATACCTATGACAAGGTCGCTCAGACGGATTATGCTAATCTCACAACGGGCGATTGGGTGCACAAGATGAATAGTTATGAGCCCCACATGCTTCAGCCCAATATGAAGATCAATGTGACGGTGAACTGCTCGTGCGGGGATGGAAGGGTGTCCAAAGATTATGGGTTGTTCATGACTTACCCTCTTCGCCCGGGGCAGACCTTAGCGTCGGTAGCAAGGGAGGCTGGGGTTTTGCCGGAGATTCTCCAGAGGTATAATCCAGAGGTCGATTTTAGTGCGGGGAGTGGACTTGTGTTCGTGCCGGTAAAAGGTTAGTACTACTTTCCGAAGTCTTTAGGTTAGATGACCTGATCAACACGACAGCTATAAAGTCTCCAGCGTCGGAATGGTTCCTGGAGTGGGCTGCGCCATTAACTGCGCATATATATATATATATATATATATATATATATATTAACCTTCGAAGTTAATTGCATGGTATTGTTAAGATTTATAATGTTAATCTTAAGTAAAATTGAAAAATTAAAGTTAGGTTACTAATAATTACTAAAATTAATATAACTAGTCCAGCACTAAGTGGTGTAGTAATCACTCTCTTAAAAAGTGTTAAGACGCGGTAAAGTACTCAATTCAATATTTAGATTTAGACACTATTCTTCATTCTTGAAAATTCGCTAAGCTCAAAAAAGAAAAAGAAAAAAAAAAAAACCAATATAGCTAAACTCTTATCAGTTAATTAACTATCAAAATCTTTATATCAAAACACAATTTTAAATTCATGTAACAATTTTACAAGACAGTACTCTTTTTCAATCCGCTACTTCAGGAGTAGTATATAGCAGTTTAGAAATAAAATTGGGAGTAGCATATATGGCGGTTTGGAAAAAAAAATTGAAAAATTAAAATAAACAAAGTGGTTAATAAAATTTAAAAATTTTAGTCGGCAACAGTTTATACTCTAATTAATATCTATTAGTTTCAAATTATTAAATAAAAAATTTTACTAAATATCTAATAGTACATATTCTTTCTATTTTAAAATAATTATTATTTTTTACTTTAAATTTATCTCAAATTAATTATCATTTTTTGTCTTTTTTAACTAATTATTTTTTTTTTGGTTTTTTTAATTAATTTTATTTTTTTTCTTTAATTTTTTATTTTAAAAAAAAGTTAAATAACAATAATTATTTTAAGACAGAAAAATAAAAGTTTATAAATAAATAATTTTTCTAAACATTTATTCAAGAAAACTAGTAACTGCCATCTCTAAACTCAAATGGGTATTTTAATAGTATTTTAAATATATGTAATTTAAAATTCATATATTTTTAAATATAGCATTTAGGTTAATCCCATACCAACCAACAGGTCCAACACCAAATTAATTGTGATGCAGTTTCCCTCCCCTCCTCGTTGAGATATTTGTTTTGATTAATGGATCAGGAAACCTAATAATCTAATAATAAGAAGGATGACTCACTTCTTTTCTCTCTCTACTTTTACTTTTTCTTTCTTTCTCTCAATTAAGAAAAATTTTGACTTTTAATCTTTCAATAATACTATTTTTTTCTTTCTTTCTCCCACTTAAACATATCATTTTGCCTTATCTTTAACTGTTAAAGATAATGTAAAAGAGGCTCTAATAGTGGCTCTAATTTTTTACCGATTCTGGGGCAATTTAAATCTTAACAATACTAAAAAAATCTCATAAAATGACATTTTTTACAAGAAAATTGTAACCCTTTTCAGTTTAGAGGGTATTTTGGTTAGCATGACTTTGTGAGAAAGTTGTAATTTTCTTTTAGTTTGGAGATTATTTTGGTCGGTCGATTTAAACTCCATTTAGTATGATCATGGTTGTAATTTTGAATTTTTGGTTTTAGTTTTCAATATTCAAACAATTAAAATTAATAATCAAAAAATTAAAATTAAAATTGACAACTTATTAGATATAAAATTTTTAAACTAATATCTTAAACTTCAAAATTAATTATTATATAGAATTTTCTAATTTTATTTTAAGATTTCTAAATTTTTAAAAATTAAAACTAAAAACTCAAAATTACAACAACATTAAAGGAAACCTTAGTAATTATAATTATCTTTTTATGTAAGGTACAGCTATCAAGATAACCTCTCATTCTTTTATGGAAATTAGCTTATCTTTTAAATAACTTGTCTTTGATGGTACCGAGAATAGATTATTTTTTAGGTATGTGTGAATTGTTTTGAAAACATCTTGATGTTAAAAAGAAAAAAAAATTTCAGCCTATCCTCTCTCCGCCAGTTCTCTCCTCCTACAAAACCTAGCTCCATTCACCTTCATTTCGTCTTCGACCATCAAATTCATTTTCAATGATTCCTAAATACCCTCACCATCACCAAGACTTCACCTTTTCCCCTTTCTTCATCCGTTTTTCGTTATCTAAATTACTATCGAGTTTGCATCCATCATGAAGTCAGGAGGACGCGCGAGGGTAGTCCAACAACCAAATACATTCCAAATTTTTTGCTATATATATTTTTTAAACTCAAAATACACTCCAACAACCCGCAAAGCGGGTTGGGAAATGCTAGTCTTCAAAAAGAAAAGATCATTGATGAGCAAATGAGGAAAGGGGATTTCATGTTGCCACCCAAGTGATTCCATTTTATTTGCAATAATTATTTGGTGGATGTATATGTTCTTGAGAGATTTAAATGCCAAACTTTTACTTCAACAAATTTGTTTTTTAATTTATATTGTTGCTTAATTTTCTTGCCTACAAATATTATGCGCCATTTTTTTTTTAACATATGAAATAGAAATTTCTATTAATAAGAGTAAAGAGATAACTTATAAAACTATACTCATAACTAACAAAAACAATTATCTCTAAAAATTATATGGTGATTACTATAATGATAAATACAAGTTATAAAGTAGAATGTCATTTTGAGTGTTTGAAATTTTTAAACATTCTTAGTTGACATGTTAAACTTTGGGAAGAGTAAGGATATTGGCTATCAATAGTCCCCCATTTGCAGATAATCGTCCCCAAGTTAAAGAAAACTCTTTGGTAGTTATAGGAGGGCCATTACTTCCCCAAGTTCTTAATTTCTCCTTTTTCTCCTTCTATGAGACCATCTAATGGTCTTAGATGGTGCCCCGTCCAATGCCCCGTCCAAGAGAATTTTTAGGTGGAAAAACTAATTTCCTGACATTTTTCTTGACTTATTGGTTATTGGCATTTTCTGTTTCGTGCTAGTAAAAATACTTACTAATTCATAAAAATTAATTTTGAAAAAAAAAAGTTACTAATTAACTGAATTAATATTTATTAATTAAAAAATATTAATTTAAAAGTCAAATTAAAAGTTAAATATTTATATGGTCAAACACGTTACCCTCTTGTATAAAAAAATGTCAATAAATTGCTGGTAAAAAACAATAAAATGGTCAATCAATTAAGGGAGATGAATTTATCATAAAGGGGATTCCGAGTGCTTGCTTAGACTAGATAAGGAAACGAGATTGCGTTCCACCTACGAGTCTACTGAGAAACTTCCTTCCAACGAAATGCTCATATCTTCCATATGGAACAGTTCTTATGAGGAAAGAAAAAAGGCTCATCTTCCAAGCAGCCAAAAGCCAACAGATCCCCTCAGCTCATTTTCAGATCTCAATTTCCCCACCTCTCCTCTCCCCTCAAAAAAATGTTGTTTCTCTCTGTCTTAAAGAGAAAATCAACACTCGATCTCATCATAGTATTTCTTGTTCTTGTTTTCATGTCTTGTTGTAATGTCCAGGGCAAGAGAAAATCAACACTCGATCTCATCTTATATCATGCTTTGAAGCCAATAATTTTTTTCTTATTGATGGGGAAGCCAATAATCTTTTTAAATCCAATTTTCAAACTACATTCACATTAGTTGGTAGAAAAGCTGATTTTCAGATTTTTTTTTAGTTAATATTTATGAAAAAAGTGAAATAAAAACCTCTTGATACTTTAAATATTTAATTTTAAAAAAAAAATTAAATATATTTAATGAATTTTTTTTGTGTATTGATTTATTAACTCAAAATACTTACTAATTTATAAAAATTAATTTTGAAAAAAAAAAAGAAAGCTATTAATAAAAATTTAACTGAATTAATATTTATTAATTACAAAATATTAATTTAAAAGTAAAATTAAAAGTTAAATTTTAATATGGTCAAATACGTTGCCCTCTTATATAAAAAAATGTCAATAAATTGCTGGTAATAAAAAACAAATAAAAAAAGTCAATCAATTAAGGGAGATGAATTTATGACAAAGGGAATTCCGCGTGATTGCTTAGACTAGATAAGGAAACGAGATTGCGTTCCACCTACGAATCAACTGAGAAACTTCCTTCCAATGAAATGCTCATATCTTCCATATGGAACAGTTCTTATGAGGAAAAGAAAAAAGGCTCATCATCTTCCAAGCAGCCAAACGCCAACAGATCCCCACATCTCCCTTCCATTTTCAGATCTCAATTTCCCCACCTCTCCTCTCCCCTCAAAAAAGAATGTTGTTTCTCTCTGTCTTAAAGAGAAAATCAACACTCGATCTCATCATAGTATTTCCTGTTCTTGTTTTCATGTCTTGTTGTAATGTCCAGGGCAAGTGCAGACCTGGTTGTGACCTTGCCTTAGCTTCATACTACGTAGCCGGAGATGTTCACAATGTCACATATATTAGCAGCCTCTTCGAACTTGCAAATTACAGAGTAATTGGTCCCTACAATCCCCAATTCAATCTAGATTCCATCAAGGCCGGTGACAAAATTAGGGTGCCATTCTCTTGTGACGACTGTGTGAACGGTGACGTGTTGGGTCATACCTTTTCTTACACTACCATGGTCGGAGATACCTATGACAAGGTTGCTCAGAACGTTTATGCTAATCTCACAACCAGTGATTGGTTGCAAAGGGTGAATAGTTATGCAGCAGACAAGATTCCGGACAGTATGCCGATCAATGTGACGGTGAACTGCTCGTGCGGGGATGGAAGGGTGTCCAAAGATTATGGGTTGTTCATGACTTACCCTCTCCGGTCAGGGGACAACTTGACATCGGTAGCAGCGGAGGCTGAGGTATCGGCGGAGATTCTCCAGAGGTATAATCCGGAGGTCGATTTTAGTGCGGGGAGTGGACTCGTGTTCATCCCGGCGAAAGGTTAGTACCACTGTCCAAAGTCTTTTGATTAGTTGACCTGGTCAACACGGCAGCTCTAAAGTCTCCAGTGCTGGCGTGTTTCCTCGAGTTAGGCCAATCCATTGATTGCGTATATCTTCTTTTTCTTTTAATCATTAATATTAGAAATTAATTGCATCGCATTGTCAAGATTTATAATGCTAATGATATAAATTTTATATTAAAATTTAATTTAATATATAAATAATAATTAAAATATTTTTCATCAAATAAAAATACGTGACAAGAATTTTATATAAAATTTTTTTAATTATTGTTTATATAATTGTTAAATTTTTATTTAAATTTTTATATAAAAATCAAACAATTAAATTAAAACTACTAAAATAAATTTAGGCAATGCTAATTTAGTTAGACTCTTATCAGTTAATTAGGTATCAAATTCAAACACAATTTATTTAACAATTGTGCAAGATAATGTTGTTTTCCAATTCCCTATTTCAAGAGTAATATTTGGTACTTTGGAAATAAAATTGAGAGTAGCATGGAACGGTCTAGAAATAAATTTGAAATATTAATTTAGTTAAGTTTGTTAATAAAACTTAAATAAAATTATTAATTATTACTCATAAATTTATATATATTTTTCTACATATAATTTAAAAAAATATATTTTTTAAATATTGCATTTAGCCACATTACTATACCAAATCAAACCATAATCAATCGTTTATGTTGAGTATATATTGTACTCCAATATATAAATATTTTTTTTGTTAGGCTTCATGTATTTAAATAATTTTATAAAAATATAGTTTATTAATTTAGTTTATCCTGTGCTTAAAAATAAAAAATAAAAAAACAGAAGACAATCAAATAAACTAAAATGCCTCGATATTTGGGTGGGCACAACCGCACTCACGACACGGGTGATAACAGTGCTGTCTATCCCACCTTGTATCTTTACTCTGCACTCAGTATCAAACAAAAACAAATCCATCACGCAGCAATCAGCTGGTCAAGATGCCAAATGCCAAAACCCAACAAATCCTCTCAGCTACCTCCCATTTCAGAATCCCAATTACCCCACCCTTTCTTCCCCTCAGACAATGTTGTTTATCTCTGTCTTAACCAGAAAAACAACAGTCAATTTTATCATGGTATTTCATGTTCTTGTGTTATTGTCCTGCAATAATGTCCAAGCCAAGTGCACAACTGGTTGTAACCTTGCCTCAGCGTCATACTACATATCCAGAGACGATGTCAATCTGACATATCAGCACCATCTTCAACCTTAGCATCCCAGAAATTCTTCCTTAAACAATCCTCAAATCAAGAATCAAGACTACATCGTCACCGGTGACAGAATTCATGTGCCCTTCCCGTGTGACTGTCTGAACGGCGATTCCTTGGTTCATACCTTTTCTTACATTACCCAGTTCGAAGATAAGTATGACAAGGTTGCTCAGACGGTTTATGCTAATCTCTCCACCTGGGAGTGGGTGCATAGGGTGCACAGGGTCAATATGGCAGCTCTAAGTTTCTGGCCATCGTGGTCCCCAGAGTTAAAGGGCGACCATCCAGCAACAGTGGCCATTGATACTTACATGGTTGTCCAGAGATTACCGATTTGGATCGTTTCAGATATGAATGTTTTATTGTAGAGATGATTTGATGTTTAACTAGCAGAAACAGTTTTTAATGGAGACTGACAAAGAGGATAACATCACACATATCTAATGAATTATGAATAAGAACAATTCTTTAGTCACTTTCAAAGTGATCCCATTTGTTTTGTTCGGCCGGGAAAATCCACCAAGATTGATTAGGAAATCCTTGTGAAATAAGGTCGATGTTTAGTTGAATGCTCATATATATGAAATATAGCTTGGGTCTCGTTTTATGTCAAGGCTAGGCAACTTAGGAGAGGTAGCAGACTCATTTGCTTTGATTGTTAATCCGCATGCTGTATCTAGGCTGAAATATAATATTACTAGTTCAGTCATTATTGCTAATTGATCTTGGATTGAAATCCTCACCTCTTTTGCACTGAAGACGCCTATGCAATAAGAATGAGGGAAAAATGGTTCTTGATTTTCACTGTCTCTTCCTTTTAAGACTATATACTATCTATACAGTTCGGTGTAGATGAAATACCTTTAGAATCATTCAAACAGATACTTTGAACATATTATTCTTGTGGCCCTACAAACATTAAGTTATGGATTAAATTATGCGAAGTATATAAAAATCTCAGTTGTTATTAAGTTTGACCTCCTTTTTCTTATGCAGACCAGAATGGGACCTTTCCACCACTAAAAATCAGGTAAGTTATGGCCTCAAGGCTCAACTAAGTTTCAGATTACAGGACCCTTATCCCAAGTTGTCAAATAATTGTGTCTCCTGGTTTAACTTTCTTGCAGAAAAGCTGGTATGGTTGTCTTCTTTGAGTAATGCTTCTGTCTGTGTCTCTGAAGATGGAGCTAGTGCTTTATTGAGCCCACTCTCTCATGGCATTTGAAACAGGAATCCCAAGAGGAGTCATTGCAGGCATATCTGTAGCTGTTGTTGTTGGGGCTTTGCTTTTTTCAGTTTGTGTGTATGTCAGACTCTATAAAAGGAAGAAAGCGATGAGGGCATCATTTCTCGAAGAGGCATCTCATCAAGAACATTACATTCACAGTAATTTTTCTTTCCATGAGAACATGTCTGCTGATTTATATTACAAAGTGAAATTTGTATTGCATCATTAATCTTCCCTGAGCTGCTATGAATTTAGGCTCTGAAAGTACCCAGAAAAATTCAGAAAAAAGTGCTCTTGTTGCTTCTCCTGGGCCCCCTGGTATCACAGTGGAAAAATCTGTGGAGTTCTCATATGATGAGCTTGCCAATGCAACTGATGAATTTAGCATGGCCAATAAGATTGGACAAGGTGGCTTTGGATCTGTTTACTACGCAGAAATAAGAGGCGAGGTATGCAATCCTGTCCCTTCTCATTAATTCATCACCAAAGATAGAACAAGGGGAAAAAAAAAGGAGAACCTGAGTAGAAAAACGCCACTGAGGGCAAATTCATATGCACATTTACACAACCAGTTCCATCCAGCATATACCTTCCTTTGTAATGGGTCACTATATGGACAGTTTAATATTTTTAACCAATTCAATGTTGGTCCTGATGCACAGAAAGCTGCAATCAAGAAGATGGAAATGCAAGCATCAAAAGAATTTGTAGCTGAATTGAAGGTTTTAACACATGTTCATCATTTGAATCTGGTATTCTACTTTTCCTACCATACCTTACTTCATTTGTTAGAACCTAGTAAGGAAAAATGTGATCCGAGTTCAATTAATTTCAATTACTGGCCAAGAAATTTATACATTAGTGGGAGGGGCAGAACCAGGATTGAAATTATGGAGGCTATAGAGGTAAAGAAAATGAAATTGAGTAGTGATTTAACATCAATCTCTTCAACTAGTCCCATATACTCTTATTAACTTATGACCTATTAATTCTGCAAGTGGATATATAACAATCTTATCTGGAATTCTGAGTTAGTTGTTATATCTTTGTTGAACTATCACTTAGGTGCGCTTAATTGGATACTGTACGGAGGGTTCGTTATTTGTGGTTTATGAATTCGTGGAGAATGGTAATTTAAGTCATCATTTGCGCAGTTCAGGTCAGAGAAGCATACTGATATTTCTTCACATAAAATGTCTAATTTAATATATTTATCTCATAGAATTTGCTTTTGTTTTCAGGAGGGGACCCAATACCATGGCCAACTAGAGTGCAAATTGCCTTGGATTCAGCTCGGGGACTTGAATACATTCACGAGCACACTGTCCCCGTCTATATTCACCGTGACATCAAGTCAGCAAACATATTGTTAGACAAAAACTTCCGTGCCAAGGTTACTAAATATTTCTGCATATTGCATGGCAGACTCTAAACTCATGTAGTTTATTTAGTCTTAACTCAGGCATTTGTTTTTACAGGTCGCTGATTTTGGGCTAACCAAACTATCTGAATATGGAAATTCCACATTGCAGACGCGTCTTGTTGGTACTTTTGGTTACATGCCTCCGGAGTAAGAACTCATTCATCAATGTGATTTTGTATGCATTTTCAAACTCGATTCAAGTTTTTCTAATTCTGAAATTCTGGTTTAGGTATGCTCAATATGGTGACGTTTCTTCTAAGGTGGATGTCTATGCCTTTGGAGTTGTCCTCTACGAACTCATATCTGCAAAAGAAGCTATTGTCAAGATCAGTGAAGATACCACAGAAACAATAGGACTTGTTGCTTTGGTTGTTATCACTTGTTTTCCCTTTCTTAGCATACTACCATTCAATTTAAAACTTCTCTGATAAATTATTCACACCGTTTATCTTGGTATGTGCAGTTTGAGCATGTTCTAAGTCAGCCTAATCCGAAAGAAGATCTTCGTAAACTTGTTGATCCTAAGCTTGGTGATAATTACATCATGGATGAAGTCTTCAAGGTTAGGTTTCAGGAGTTTGTCTGATGATAGGTATGAAAAGGCATGTCATAACTCGAACCCTCAATTCTAACAAGCTATTATGTAATGTTTACAGATTGCCAATCTTGCCAGAGCTTGTACACAAGAAAATCCCCAACTTAGACCAAGCATGAGGTCAGTTGTTGTTGCTCTTGCAACACTATCATCTTCAACCGAGGATTGGGATATCAGATCTTTTTATGGAAATAAAGCCTTAGTTAATCAAATGTCCGGAAGGTAGCTAGCTTCTGCTCAGACCATTTTTTGTAATTTCTAGAGAAATTAAGATTTCTTTTGTAACGGGTTAGAATACTTTTGGATCCCATCAACTCTATTGATGAATAATATATTAATATACTTTTATCTGCAAATAAAAAAAAGATTTATGATTAAGTGATGCCTGACAGCTCGTTTTCTCTGTATGCAAGGAGTAGTTAGGAAATGAGAACTAATATATATTGATTTCTCACGTACTCTAAAGATCTTTTTTTTTTGTAAATAAAACTATGAGGTCCATGAACTAAAAGTGTAGAGCTAATAATATCTTGTAATGAGACATATCCAAAAGGAAAAAGGAATTTGAAGAATTTTAATAATAATTTCATGATAAATTTAATAAGATTAAAATTTATATTTTATTTTATATATTTAATGATTATAATGAAACATTTTAATATTTTAAATATTAAGATGTTTTGATTTTTTTTTCTATTCCAAGTCTTAATTTCAACAATATTGGAAACTAACTTAAAAGGATAATTAATTATAGACTTTTGAAAATGTGCACTCTTAGTTTTAAATGTTAAGTTTAAATTTCTCTTTAAATTTATACTTTTTCAAAAAAAAAAATTCGACAATTCTGACTTTTTTTATGGATACAAGTACAACCTAATATTTCTTAACCACTCAGGATATCACAAGTTTATGACAAAAACCGGCATAAATCTACACTAAACCCATGAAGAGCAAAGCTTCTAACCTTAGAACCTTGTCAAAGCCTTAAATACTCAAGGATAGCGACTTCAGTCCTTAGATATTATTGTTTGCTTAGTCCTTGATATTATTATTCCTTTAACTTTAAGTCTCTTAACAGGAAACCCATGTGCCACTTCATTTTTACCGTATTATTTTATTCAAGTTACATCTTTAAATTGCATTCTCTTATCGTGGTTCACTAGTGGCTACTACAGCCTAAAGAGATTGTCGGTAAATTGCACCCTTGATCAATGTTCAAACCCTGCCAAGAGTAAATACTAACCTAACCTCTAACCATTTCTTCTGTAAAAAAAAAAAAGTTACATCTTTAAATTAAATGATTATTTTGTTTTTAGTGTTGTATCATCATAATTAATATTATTTTATATAAAGTTTTTTTATTATTTAATTATCAAATAAAATATTTAATAAAACACATTTTTAGAAAAAAAAAAGTATGAAGTTAAAAGTTGAAAGTTAATTTTTTTTTAAAAAAAATTAAAAATTAACATACTTATTTCACAAATAACAAAGTTAACAACTTTAGGAAAAAAGTACAGGAAAAAAGTATAAAGTCGATATTTTTATTTACACATTTTTTCTCAAATGGTTAGATAAGTTTAAAAGTAGAATTATAAATCAAATTATTTATATTAATTTTAAAATTTTATAATTCAAATCAATTTAAATTGATGTCCATTTAGATTGGATTTTAAACGGATTGAATAATTTCAATTAGATCAATTAGTTTGAATTAGATATTAATAGCCTTAATTGCATCTTTAAGTTTTTTATATTTAATTTTAAATAAATAATAATAATATTTTAATAAATATATTATAAAATATATTAAATTAAAAATATCCCATGATAGGTGGTCAAAAGTCAAACGACAAGACAAAAAAAAAAAAAGGAAGAGGCAGGAATATACCTGTGTTTGGCAAAACGCCACTTAAGTAGAGTCGGTAAAAATCCAAAAAGAATAGCTGACTGGCGTTTGGCACAAACGCAAAAAATCATTAATATATATATGTATAGGCAATAGGACTTTTTCTTGTAATGCCATTAGAATCCCATGATAGGAGGCCATTAGATTTAGACCTCCTCAAATTAAACTGGTACCTTGCTGTCATTAACACGCCATACTTTTTTATTTATCTTTAACCGACTAAATTTTGAGAAAAAAAAATAGGGATAAAGTATATAAATTCTGTTTTTTTATTTTTTTATTTAAATATACAAATTTTATTTTTTTATTTAAAAGTTTGAATTTTACCATATTTGATTAAAATTATTGTTTATTATATCATCATTATTATTCAATGAATTCTTAAATAAAAAAAATTTAACACAAAATTCATGTATCCTTATTTGAAAAAATAATGGAAACTTACAATTTGATTTAAAAATTTAAAAAGTTTGTACTTTTAAATAAAAATGACAAAATTCATATTATTATTTACACATTTTCTCGTCAAATTTGCGAAGAGAGAAATTCCAAATTATGTTTTGAGAATTATTGAATTCCACGGTTCAAAAGCGTTAAACGGCATAACCAATTGGATAACCCCCTCTGCACACCAAATGATGGGGTTATCCAAAAATTATATATTATATTTATATAAAATAAATGTAATTAATTTAATTAATTCTCTTATATTATTTGTATAATTATATTTTTTTATTTTTTATTTTTTATTTTTAATTAAAAAATAATAATTTTTTAATAAAAATATTAAAAACTATGTTAAATAAAAAATACAGAATAAGGGGTTGTCTTACGCCCTAAAACTACAGGTACAAGAAGATGCTGTCCCGTCACGTTGATCTCAGATTCCCACGTTGGGTTGCCATTAGACCCTCCCAAATTAAACTGGCACCTAGCCGTCTTTAACGCTCACGGACTTTTTTTTTTTTTTATATTATAAAACACTGCCGTCTTTAACCTCCTTTTTTTTTTTTTTTTTTTTATATTATAAAACACTCCAGAGTCCAGCCTCCTTTTCTTTTTTTCTTTTTTTGTCTTTAATAAACCAAGAATTTTGAGAAAAAGTAAAAATAAGTATATGAGTTTTGCTATTTTTTTATTTATAAATATGAAATTTCGTATTTCTAATTTAGACAATAAAATATTTTTATTTAAAAATACAAAAATTATTATTTTTCTACAAAAAATTCATATTATTTTTTGCACATTTTCTCACCAAATTTGTAAAGAGAGAAATTCCGAATATATGTTTGAGAATGGTTGAATCCCACGGTTCATAAGTGTTAAAGGCATAATCAACAAGGCAGATTGTTTTGGATACCCCCATCTGCACACTAAATGATGGGGAGAATTAAGTTTAAAGAAAAGCGGTAGTTTGCAGACCAAATGATTGGGTGAAATAAGTTTAAAAGAAAATGGCATCTTATATCATGCTTTGAAGCCAACAATTTTTTTCTTATTGATGGGGAAGATAATAATCTTTTTAAATCCAATTTTCAAACTACATTCACATCAGTTGGTAGAAAAGCTGATTTTCAGATTTTTTTTAGTTAATATTTATGAAAAAAGTGAAATAAAAACCTCTTGATACTTTAAATATTTAATTTAAAAAAAAATAAATATATTTAATGAATTTTTTTGTGTATTGATTTATTAAACATATTTTAATTTTATTATTATTATTATTTAATATTTTAATTATTAAAACGGTCTTAATTTTTTTCAATTCTTACTAATTATTTATATTTTTTTGTTCTTTCTGATTATACAAATAAAAATATTTAATATAATTTAAATTGTATGAAATTGTACAAACTTAACCTTTAAATGAAATAACTTTTTAATAGCAGGTTATCCCTATCTAAGAGTTTCTTCTTTACTGTTTGATTTAATCCACATTATCAAAAAAGAAATTTCTGTGCAAAATTAGTTGTAGGAAAAATTCAATCAATATATTGCTGATAATTTTTTTTATTTAAGAAAAAAGTAGTCAGTCAATCAGTGAAGGGAGACGAAATAATGACAAAAAGGAATCGCAAGTCAGTAAGTTAGGAAAGAAGATTGTTTTCCACGTACGAATCAACCGAGAAACTTCCTTGCCAGTGAATTGATTATCTTTCTAATTATCTTCTTCGGTAGCAAAATTTAATGCAGTAAGAGAATCCAAAACAAAGTCACTGTAAAAATATAATATAAATCAAATTTATTCAGTTAATTTTTATATTATACGTGAACAGTTATATTTTTAAACTTTATTATTTTTAATTTTTATAAAAAATAGTTTTTTAATAAATATATTATATAATTTATTAAACAAATTTCAAATTTAAATATTGAAACTGTGCACAAGAAGTTAAGTAAGGCCAGTAACTTTAACTAGAAACAGCCTGACTGTTGAAAAAGAAAGAGAATGAACAGTTAATGTCTTATTCAACCTTATTCTTTACTCCAAAGTTAATAATTCAATATCAATGTCAATATCAAACCAAAAAAAATCTATGGTACAAAACCCAAAAATTCTCAAATCTCCATTTCCCCATCTCTCCTCTCCCCTTCCCTTAGAAAATGTTCCTTTTCTCTATCTTAAAGAGAAAAACAGCACTCAATCTCCTCATAGTATTTCATGTTCTTGTTTTCATGTCTTGTTGTAGTGTCCAAGGCAAGTGCAGATCTGGTTGTGACCTTGCCTTAGCTTCATACTACGTATCCGACGATGCTTCCGATGATATTGACAATATCAGCACCATCTTCAAACTTAAAATCTCCGAAATTCTTCCCTACAATCCCCAAATCAAGAATCCAGATTACATCGCGACCGATGACAGAATCAAGCTGCCATTCTCGTGTGACTGTCTGAACGGTGATTTCTTGGGTCATACCTTTAGTTACATTACCCGGTTCGGAGATACCTATGACAAGGTTGCTCAGATGGTTTATGATAATCTCACCACCGAGGATTGGGTGCGTAGGTTCAATATTTATGATGAATTCCATATTCCGGACTATTCTCCGATCAATGTGACGGTGAACTGCTCGTGCGGGGATAGAAGGGTGTCGAAAGATTATGGGTTGTTCATGACTTACCCTCTCCGGCAGGGGGAGAACTTGTCGACTGTCGCGGCGGAGGCTGGGGTGTCGACGGAGATACTGATCGGGTATAATCCGGGGGTCAATTTTAGTGCGGGAAGTGGACTCGTGTTTGTACCGGCAAAAGGTCAGTACTGTTTAAGGTCTTAGGTTTTGATGAGTTGGTCAACATGGCAGCTTTAATAAGTTTCTGGCCATGGTGGTCCCCGGAGTTAGCTGGCGACCACACTGCAACAGTGGCCATTGATGCTTATATGGTTGTCCAAAGATAACCCATTTGGGTCACTTCAGTAATGAATGTTTCATTGTAGAGATGATTAGATGTTTAACAATGAGAAACATTTTTCAGTGGAGAGTGACAAGAGTATTACATCACACGTGTGATGTTGCTTTTGCTTTCCAGCGATTACCCAATTGAATAATTTATTCATACATGGTTTTAATGAATTATAAATAAGAACAATTCTTTAATCATTTTCACTAATAAAAAAAAAAATCTTTAGTCACTTTCAAAGCGATTAATCCTTTTCGCGAGTTGGAAAAGAGTTAGGTAGATTGATTAAAATCTTATGAAATAAACTAGGTTTTAAGTTGGATGCTCCTATGACACATATCTTAGGACCTGTTTTATGTCAATGCCACGCAACTTAGACTTGTTCGCTTAGATTGTTAACCTACATGCAAAACCCACTTAAGTGTAACATTTACTACTTCAGTCATTGTTGCTAAAATTAGCAATGCTAATAGATCGTAGCTAGACGGAAATGGTCACATCTTCCACATTGAATACGCTTCAAATTGAATTAGTCTATGCAATAACAATTAAAGAAATTGGTTCTTGATTTTCACTATGTCTCTTCTTTTTAGGACTAGACTATTCTGTTTGGTGTAGGAGGAATACACCAGACAATATATTGCTATTGATGTTTTGAACATATTGTTCTTGTGGCCATGTATGGATCACCTGTATGGAAAGTGTACATCTCCATAGTCATTAAGCTTGGGCTCATTTTTCTTATGCAGACCAGTATGGGACCTTTCCACCACTAAAGATCAGGTAAACTTTGGCCTCAAGGCTTAACTGAGTTTCTGATTATAGGACCCTTATCCCAAGCTGTCTAATAATTGTGCTCTTGGTTTACCTTTCTCGCAGGGCAGCTGGTATGATTGTCTTCTTTGAGTAATGCTTCTATCTATGTCTCTGAAGATGGGGTTGATGCTTTATTGGGCTCACTCTCTCATGGCATTTGAAACAGGAATTAAACGAGGAGTCATTGCAAGCATATCTGTAGCTGTTGTCACTGGGGCTTTGCTTTTTTCAGTTTGTCTGTATGTCAAACTCTATAAAAGGAAGAAAGTAGAAGAGGCATCTCATCAAGAACATTACTCTCACAGTAATTTTTCTTTCCATGACAATAATGAGTCCGCTAATTTTGTCTTACAGATTGAAATTTGTATCCCTTCAGTAATTTTCCTTTTGCTGCAGTGGATTTAGGCTCTGGAAGTACCCTGAAGAAAAAATCAGAAACAACTGCTCTTGTTACTTCTCCTGGGCCCACTAGTATCACAGTGGACACATCTGTGGAATTCTCATATGATGAGCTAGCAAAGGCAACTGATGACTTTAGCATGGCTAATAAAATCGGACAAGGTGGCTTTGGCTCTGTTTACTATGCAGAAATAAGAGGCGAGGTTTACAATCATATTCCTCCTCATGCATTTATCATTAAAGAAAGAACAAGTAAAAAAAAGGAACCTAAGTAGAAAAATGCCACTAATGGTGATTATATGCAAATTCACACAATGGGTTCATCCTGCATATACCTTCCTTCATAAGGGGTCACTATATGGACAGTTGAATATATTTTACCCAATTCCATGTTGTTCTTGATGTACAGAAAGTTGCAATCAAAAAGATGAAAAACCAAGCATCAAAACAATTTCTAGCTGAATTGAAGGTTTTGACACATGTTCATCACTTGAATCTGGTATTTTCCTTTTTCTTCATTCCCTATATCATTTGTTAGAACTTAGGACGGCACAAAATGTGATCACAGTTCAATTAATTTCAATTTCTAGCCAAGAAATTTGCACGCTAGTGGGAGGGGCATAATCCAGATTGAAATCATGGAGACTGAAGGCATAGAAAATGAAAGTTGAGCAATGATTTGATATTGATCTCTTCAGCTAGTCTTATATTCTCTTATTAACTTATGACTAGTTGATTCTTCAATTGGATATTTAACTACGTCATCTGGAATTCTAAATCATTTGTGATATCTGTGTTGAACTATCATTTAGGTGCGCTTAATTGGATATTGTATGGAGGGTTCCTTATTTGTGGTTTATGAATTCATGGAGAATGGTAATTTAAGTCAACATTTGCGTGGTTCAGGTCAGAGAGACACACTGATACTTTACAGAAAATGTCAAATTTAATATGGTCTCATAGAATTTGCTTTTGTTTTCAGGAGGGGATCCACTATCATGGCCAACAAGAGTGCAAATTGCCTTGGATTCAGCTCGAGGACTTGAATACATTCACGAGCACACCGTCCCTGTCTATATTCACCGTGACATTAAGTCAGCAAACATATTATTAGACCGAAACTTTCGAGCCAAGGTTACTAAATATTTCTGCATATTGCATAGCAGACTCTAAGACTAATGAATTTTATTTAGTCTTAACGCAGGCATTTGTTTTTACAGGTCGCTGATTTTGGGTTAACCAAACTATATGAATATGGAAATTCCTCATTGCAGACGCAATTTGTTGGTACTTTTGGTTATATGCCTCCAGAGTAAGAACTTGTCCATCAATATAATTATGTATGCATTTTAAAACCAGATACAAGTTTGTCTAATTCTGAAATTCTGGTTTAGGTATGTGCAATGTGGTGGTGTTTCTCCTAAGGTGGATGTCTATGCCTTTGGAGTTGTCCTCTACGAACTCATATCTGCAAAAGAGGCTGTTATCAAGATCAATGAAGATGCCACAGAAACAATGGGACTTGTTGCTTTGGTTGTTATCACTTGTTTTACCTTTCTAAGTAAACTATCATTCAATTTAAAACGTTTTCGGTGAATCATTTACATTGTTTATCTCTATATGTGCAGTTTAAGCATGTTCTAAGTGAGCTAGATTCAAAAGAAGATCTTCGTAAACTGGTTGATCCTAAGCTTGGTGATAATTACACCATGGATGAAGTCTTCAAGGTTGGGTTTCATGAGTTTGTTTAATCATAGGTATGCAAATGCATGTCATAACCTGAACCCTCAATTCTAACATGCTGTTATGCAATGGTTACAGATGGCATATCTTGCCAGAGCTTGTACACAAGAAAATCCACAACATAGACCAAGCATGAGGTCAATTGTTGTTGCACTTGCAACGCTATCATCTTCCAACGAGGATTGGTTGAATCTTTTTATGAAAATAAAGCCTTAGTTAATCAAATGTCTGGAAGGTAGATTCTACGTACTAAAACCTTTTTTGGTAATTTCTAGAGAAACTAATATCATTTTTCGTAACATGTTAAGAGTACCTTTGTGTAGTAAACTAGATTAAGAATCTTTTATAGGAAGAAAGCTTCTGGCTTCTTGTGTGAGATAAGAATGACCTTTATACTTACAAACATGGGTTCTTTCCTTCTTTTTTTTTTTTTTTTCTTGGAATAGCAAAAGCACAATTTTATTCATATACTAAGTACAAGGGATGCCCAACCCTTTTATAGCACAAAAGAAACCATTCATAAATATTATCCATATATTTCCCATTATTTAAACCCATTCCTCCATTGTCCTTTTTAACCACCACAATTAAATCTTAAACATTCAACATGATTTAATAACCAGTCCAATAGATTAAAGTATCACTCGGCTTTCCTTCCTTTGTACCATAAGAATGATATTAGTTGAATATAAGTTCAAGCAATTTTCCTAGATTTACCCCTAAGCCAAGAAAAATCTTCTGATTTTGTGCAAGCCA